CATTTGTTTTTGTCTGCTCTTTCTAGATTGCTCTCCTTAGTATCCTTAGTATTTCTGTCCTTTCTTTTTTTTTTTTTTTTTGGCTTCTTTGTGGGTGTCTAGTCTGGATTTTTGGTTACCGAAATCTGAAGGGGTTTTATTTGAATTCCTGTATTTTAGGTCCTTTATAAGCTGCTGTCTACTCTCCAACATTTATGCACATTCTATCCATTTATTTCTCCGTGTTAGTGTTTTATTGTTGATTGATATCATTCTTGCTCATGCTTCTAATCTTGTATCACTGTTGTAATTTTGCTCAAGCACATACATTTAAGTTTTTCTTTTCTTGTAGAAGAACTCTTTTCAATATTACTTGAAAGGCAGGTACTTAATGATAATTTGGAAGGATAGAGAATTCTTGATTCTTGATTCTTGGCTGGCAATTTTTTTGTTTTTTTTTTTTTTTTAGAATTAGTAATATTTCTTTCCACTCTTGTCTGGAGAGTATTTGGGCTCAATTTGGGGGCCCTTGTAAACATTTTTTTGTTCACCTTGCTCTCTGCAGATTTTTCTTTATAATTTTTCATGTGTCTGGGTTATCTTTTACATTTAAAAATTTAGGTCTCTTTGGCCCTCCCTGGTGGTGCAGCGGGTTAAAGCACAGCACTGAGAATCTAAAGCCACTTTCGCATGAGTTCGATCCCCGCCTGCCCAGTTGGAGATCCACATGGCGTAGTAGACCTCTCCTGACCTGCCCGCTGCTCCCCTCAGCAGTGTACTTCGTCGATCTTCCTGTTCTGTTCCCCACTCTGTCTCTGGTGAAGCCTCTCACCACCCCTGAGTCTCAGGCCTGTACCCCAGTTCTATATGCACAAATAAGGGTTTAAAAAAAAATGAAATTTAGGTCTCTTTGCTTCCTGGACATCTATATATTTAATTAAATTATAGATTTGGGAAAATTCTCAATTATTATTTTTTAAATAAGGTTTCTGCTCCTCTTCATTGTTCTTTCCCCTTTGAGGTCCCTAGATTCCTCTTCTAATTGAATTTGATGTTTCTTGTAGTTTCCTCATTTTTCCTTTGTCTTGAACTCTTCTTCTAAATGTCTAACTCATTTGAGTCTTCTGTGGCTGAAATTCTTTCTTTGGCCATTTTAATTCTACTTATAGAACTTTCTAAATTTGGCTGCATTTGTTTCAGAATCTCTTTTGATCTTTTTATAGTCAGCCGCTTTAGTAAAGAAATCTCTGTTCTTGGATCTTCTTTCTGATATTTTGCATTTGCCTATTTTCCTTTGACTTTTAGCTCATTTAACATTTTTGTTATTGTTGTTTTGAAATTGTTTTCTTTACTTTTATTTCTTTTATATTTTTTCCCAACACGTCTGTCCTTCTTATTTTTCTTTTCTATGCTGTGTTGAGATGTCTTGCTTCCTCAGCATGCATTTATTTAGAGGGCTTTATTTTATTTTATTTTTTTAGTAGCTCTGTGTGTATGTGTGCGTTTGGGGCACTAGGAATTCACCTTTGTTTCTCTTCTCAGTTTATCTCTTGCATGAGGTGAAGGTAGGAGGCTCATCTAGGGCTTTAATATTCAATTTCAGTTTGAGAATGATGGTAGTGACCTCTACCTTTTTCTTTTGTTCCACAGCAAGCTGTATTCTGTGCTTAGGTTGCCTTGCTTTCCACCTTTCCACTCTGCTGTTCCTTTCTGTGGAGCATCTATGAAGTTTTGTTCCCTCAGTTTGGGAGAGCAAGGTCTGCATCACTAGGCTCACTTTCCTGGATTAATTTGCACTTGGCCTGAAGGCAGCTTTATGTGCCAGCTTAATACTATGGCCACCCACACTGGCTGCCACTATCCTGCCCTTACCACAGGTGCTGATTCTTCAGATTTGGGATAAACCTGCCCTTTGTTTATTTTCCCCAAAATTTCTGGAGTTAACTCTAACATCCTTCTTTGTGCTTAGGGGGTGTTAATGGAGTTTGGCCTGGCTTCTCTTTGATGGCTTTGAAGAGGGGAAAGTGGCAGGAGCTTTCAGTGCCCATGCTAGTCTGCAGAGTTCCCAGTTTCCCAGGTCTGAGTCTGCTGAGTTCTCACTGCCACAGGTTGGGTCTGTCATGTCAGCAAAGTTCCAGGGGGAATTTCACAATATCCTAAGTTGCCCGCACACCCCTTTGCTTCTTCCTGTTCTTTCTTAGCTGCCACTGACCTTCGTTCTCAGAACTTCTTAGGAAGGTCCTGAGGCTGTAAAGCTGGAACAGAGTATCTGGATCTTCTTAGATGCAAATATTATATAGTTGTTTTTAAGGAAGAGGGTGATTCCAGTCTCTCTATTCCTCCATGTTTTTGATCCCTTAATTTTTATGTGGTAACATTGGTTTATTATCACTGCATGTGAGTGTATGTCACCACACAACACTCATCACCAAGACACCCACACTTCTCCATCATAGGCCATTGTGCCCCCTCCCCATTTTGTTTTCCTACCATTCCCTCCTACTCCAGTATCCTTAATTCCACAGTTGAATTTCTCGGGTCTATTATTTGATTTCGTTTTGTCTAAACCGACATCTTGTTTTCCTGCTTTCCACATATAAGTGAAACTTGAGGACTGTTCTTAAAGGAAATGTAAAGTAATTCTTGGGCCTATAAAACCTTCAGCTTTCCACATTACTATTCCTAAATTTTGTTCTGTGAAGTGACAAAACTAAGCAGTTTGACAACGGGTTTGATTCAGGAAAAATGTTGCATGCTTGGGAAAGCAGAGTATTTTGCAAGCAGTGGAACATTTTCCAATGATTTGGGGTAAGAACAGATTTTATTAGTATTAGAGCTAACTAAGCAGTAACTGGGCTGGATTGGCTGGGATTGTATGTCTCACCTTTTGGATCAAGGAAATTAGTGTAGAGCCCTGTCTTTTAAGCTCATTGTCTGGGAGTGGATGAATGCATATACACTAAATGTCAAGTGGAGCATTTACCAGGAATAGGAAAGTTCACTTTGCTGAGCATGGCCCTCCAGGCAAGAGCACTTTTATCTTGGGTATAGAAATTTATTTCAGCAGTTCCATTTTTAAAAAAAAATATGGAACAGGGCTCTCCCTGGTGGAGCAGCGAGTTAAAGCACAGCACTAAGAAGCTAAAGCCACTTCAGCATAAGTTGGATTCCCAGCCCTGGAGGTGACCCACATGGTGCGGCAGACCTCTCCTGACCCACCTGCTGCTTCCCTCAGCAATGTACTTTGTCAGTCAGCCTGTTCTGCTCCCCACTCTCTCTGGTGAATCCTTTCACTGCCTCTGCACCTCTGGCCTGTATCCCAGTTTTGTAGGCATAAATAAATAAATCTTTTTTAAAATATGAAACAAAAAATGATCTCTGAATAATCAAAATCGTTCTTTGGAATTAGGAGTAGTCCTGAGGCCACCCTTTTTCATAACTTTAGCAATTTCACATCTCCCTTGGAAGGAACTCAGAATCCCTCAGGTGTGCTTTTATTATCTTTCTGCGGGCCTTTGATGTGTTTTATCCTATTTACTTTTGAAGTCAGAGAATCTTCCTAGTCCTTTAAGATTTCCTATTTCTCATCAGATATCATACTGGTGGGAATGTATTATTTCCTACAGAAACTTGACTGTGGAAGAAACTGAATAGGGGAGTGGTAGACTTTATGGTCAAAGGCAAAAATAAAACTAGGACAAAAGAAACATGCTCATAAACTCAATGGAAGCATGATTCAAGGGGAGTAAATATAAATAATTCAGTATCTGACCTGTACTGAAGGCCTTTTTGAGGTTTGATATTGTGGGAAAAAATGGGCTTAGTCATTTGATTTGACTTCCTCCATTCATGAACAAATATTATGTCCTATTGAGTATCTAGCATTTTTTAGATAATAAAGATGAAATAGATATACAGTGCTTTCAGGAGGTCCAGGGTCTAATGATTTTGGGCAAGGGAGGGAGAAATATGTTCAAGGTTTACTATCTATAAGTCACACTCTAGGAAGATAAAGGTTGGAGAAGTAAGAAAAGGAACTGATTATGCTGCTCGTGATATTCCTGGTGGCTGGTAGTCTTGTGATAATTATATTTAAAGAAAAGGCTCTGCCTCGCAATAGATCCTGTGCAGAGTCTTGGAAAGACACACTCTTTTGGTAAGTGTTAATTCTCTGATATGTTTTAGCAAACTGTATCAGGTTTTTGTCAACTCCATTAGATAACATCTAAGAATTTTCTTGAAAATATTTGCTCCCTATAATTAATTAGTGGAAGAAGATGCTGATTCTGAAGATACTATGCTGCAGCTTCAAGTGCATTTTTAAGTTGCTTATGTAAGCTCTTTAGGCAAAAAGGGGAAGGCGTGGTATGGAGAAAATACTAGTATTGCGTTTTATTTTCCTATATGTTTCTGTTTTTCATGGCCCCATCCTTTGGATTTGTTATTCTTCAGTTTGATTATTTTGCATTAGCTTCGTTGTCCTTGTCCATTTGGGCTACTCTAACAAAAATTGCATAGAGTGGACGTCTTAAGCAACAGATAGTAATTTACAGTTCTGAAGAACTGTAAGTCCAACCCAGGGTGCCAACAATTCGGTGTATGGTGAGAGCCTATCTTTTTACGTGGCAGAGTGGGTGAAGGATCTTCAGGGATCTCTTGTAAGATCACTAATCATTCAGAATGATTTGACCTCCCATGATTTTATCTAATCTTAATCACCTCCCAAAGAGCCTCTCCCCCAATACCATCATATCGGGGATTAGGATTTCAACATTAAATTTTTTTGAGGAACACATTCTGTCTATAACAGAATTCTTTGAAGTAGGAGCTAAAGAAGTGTAAGTGTTGCTGCTAAAAAGAAGATTCGTCTGTGTTTTCTGACTCAGATGTATGGGATCTGAGAGTCCTGTCTGTTTGAATGTAGTAATGTGATAATATAGTGTGGGTAGCATAGATATTACTTTGGGGAATATCTGCTGCTTTTAACTTCCTAAAATTTCCTTTTCTTTGCTTATGTCAAGGTGGTGAGCTTTTTGCCTGGGGACAGAACATACACGGCCAGCTTGGAGTGGGAAGGAAGCTTCCCTCGATTCCGATACCTCAGGTTGTGGAGCAGCTCTCAGGAGTCCCCTTGGTGCAGATCTCGGCAGGGGAAGCCCACAGCATGGCCTTATCCATGTCTGGAAATGTTTACTCATGGGGACGAAATGATTTTGGACAACTAGGCCTGGGCCACACTGACAGTATGGAAGTATTTTCAAATTCATATTATCAATGTGTATTTGTTATATAAAAGATAAATTTAACATGCACCTCCATGTCAAAGTGTTCATATCTTCACTTTCATTTACACTGGTCTTCTTGGTTATCTCTGTCTTCAGAACATCATTGGTTAAGAGACATGCTCAATATGGAAGTTTTTATTATAGTTAAGATGCTTGTCAAAGCCTTGTCGCAAAAGGGGAAAAGCATTGAACCTGACTCTGGTATACCTAGATTCTAATTCCCACCCCACAGCTAACTAACTGCAAGACTTGCGGAGTCATGTCACGTAACTTTTCTCTAAACCAGGGCACTTAAATGTCTACTAATATAATTCTGTCACAACCAAAGGGTATCACAATTCAATTTAGAAATTCACATGTCCTAATCTTATTCTTAAGGCATTAATTACATCTTTGCACAAAGAAGATGGTAAAATTTATCATAAGCCCAAGCATTTTGTTGTTTTTAGGGGCAGCTATGTGGCACCTTTACCAACTGTGGTTATACATGCTAAGTTACTGGCTAAACACTAACTTTTTCTCTGGACTGGTCTGATGCTGTTTACTCAGGAGAACCCATAATTCAATAATATTCAGAAATGGGAAATGTATAGAGGGCAGATAAACTGCTTTTTTAGAATCTCTTAAGTGCTTTGATAAGAAGATGATTGTGGAAGAAGAGGTAGGGTGAGGCTAGGACACTATAGAGAATTTAAAAGAAAAAAAGAACCTATACGTTCATTAAAAGGCTTATTCTGGCCCTCCCTGGTGGCGCAGCGGGTTAAAGCACTGCACTGAGAAGCTAAAGCCACTTCTGCATGAGTTCTACTCCCGCCTGCCCAGGAGGTGACCACATGGCGTGGCAGATCTCTCCTGACCCGCCCGCTGCTCCCCTCAGCAGTGTACTTCATCGATCTGCCTGTTCTGCTCCCCACTCTGTCTCTGGTGAAGCCTCTCACCACCCCTGAGCCTCTGGCCTGTACCCCACTTCTGTATGTACAAATAAATAAATCTTTTTTTTTTTTTTTTAAAAAAAGGCTTATTCTATTTCAGAAATTGGCTGTGGTAAAGTTAATCCAATAGGTTAAAAAGAACAGTGACCTTGTGATCACTGTCCCACCCTCCCCACCCCATCTTTGGGCCTAAATACTCCTAACCAGGTTCTTTCTTGTCAGAACGTGTTGGGGAACTATGTTTGCTAGGCTGAATAAGTCATCCGGGTAGTTTACAGGAGAATGGACATCCACTGTGACACTCAGCATTGGTCACTTCAACTGTTACTTCCTTTGCATAGATAAAGATTCTCCTGCCCTCGTTGAACCCCTGGATCATCAGAAAGTTGAATTTCTCACGTGTGGTGGCTTTCACACTGCCCTGCTCACGAAGGTGGGTGTACCCTTATCTCCATCTGACTGTAATTCCAGAAGCACTATGGCAGTGCTTTTGATTATCACTGATACCTTTGTGTCAGTGAATATTGCTTTTGCCGTTTGTGTCACGTTTCTTGAGAGTCTGATTTGAAGTTCCTTTGCCTTAGGATGGGCTGGTGTTTACCTTTGGTGCTGGAAAGTTTGGACAGCTTGGTCACAATTCAACACAGAATGAGTTAAGACCCTGTTTGGTGACTGAACTTACTGGAAATAGAGTGACCCAGATAGCATGTGGAAGGTAAGAGGTCAAGAGTCAGCAAAGGTTGATAGAAATCAACATCATAAATTTAGGTAGTCAGTTATTTTGAGATAGAACTACCAGAAATTTCAAATGTGTAAAGAAATTTAGTTTACATTATCACATACCATAAGTATTTTAATATATACATATATATATATATTTGTTTTTATGTATTTCATTATAATTTTAAAAACTACAATTCATTCTGTTGAAAAGGATTCAGGAAGTCCCTTTGTAACTATTCAGTTTGCTTTTATCTTCAAGGAAAATGTCATTATTATTTTGGGAAAATATAAATAACATGAATCACAAAGGATCATTCATTGGCATAATCATCCTTTCTGTAGCTCCTGGGGGCAGCCAGTTGCTTCCTGATTGCAACCATTCTTTTAGTAGGAACACAGCCAAGTTAGTGGCAGTGGAATATTCTGAGGAGTTTGATTTTCATTTTGCTTTTAAACAAAAGCAGAAAATTTTGCTCGAGCACCTGTTTTGCTTAGTGATTTTCTTCCTTCAACATCAAATTCATCAATCCACTTCTTGCCAGTGAGATACTGGGCTTTGGTGGAATTAAGTAATGTTTTACCATATGTTTATTGTTCTTTTGGCCATTTGCTCCCTCACTGTACATGAATTCAGATTAAATCTAAGTAATGGATTCGTTAGATTATTGAAATTTTTACTATAAAAAATGGGTATATGTGCTTTCAGTATCAGGACATAATCTCCTGATCTTAGAACAAAATTGTATAATTGGGTTTTAGTATGGTAAACCAGATTATTGGGGTGGAAAGATTTTCTGCAGTAGCGACTTTGAGTTAACTAATGAAATTTTGGACAGTGGATTTTTTTAATAACACAAAGTCCTCAATGAGAGGAATGTGTTACAAAGAGTCAAGTTAGATGTATCTTAATACAAACCAGAACAATACCTCCACTACAATAGAAGTCACTGGAAAAAGTCATGGGAGTCTCTGAAAACTATTACAGTCATGGTCATATTTACTACAAGGACAGGATACTAATTAAACGCAGTCAAGATAGAATCTTGAAGTTCCAAACAAGGAACTTCCTGGGTTCACTTCCCTTAGAGCTATGGGTTATGATACTTTTTCCTTAGTCAATACATGGTAGAATAGTAGAGTTTTGCTATCCAGGCAAGCTTACCTGAGTGCATAGTAATCATAAAGTAATGGAGACCATCAAATGCATCAGCATGAAAATGAGTGTGACAGTGATCTTTAGGTAATAGAGTAAAAAGCTCACAGAGAACATCACCTAGTTCCCTCTTTTAAGATGGGGTGAGGAGGAACTCAGAGGTAGCTTCCAAGAGGTGGAAACCATCAAGTCATGGCTCGGAAAAGAAATCAAAGGCAAAAGAAATAGATTTTCTTGATAAAGGAAATGCCATTTGCCAGGATAGGACATTATAGTCTTGAACAGGTTTATGGGTTCCAGAATCATCTTGATCATATATTAGTATCATATATTAGAATCCAGATAGATAACTTTATTCATTGGTAGGTGGTTAACTAGTTGGAAACTAGTTTGACTCACTTGGAAACCCTTATTTCAGCAGTTTGTTGTATTGCTACATACTTACATCATTATTAATAATTGAGAATTGACAGTATATGCTTTTATTTAATAGGTGGCACACACTTGCCTATGTTTCTGATTTGGGAAAGGTCTTTTCTTTTGGTTCTGGAAAAGAAGGACAACTGGGAAACAGTGGAAAACATAACCAGCTGATACCACTTCCTATGAAATTGTCATCAAATGCAGAACTCAAATTTGGTAAACTCTACAGGAACATAGCAGTTTGCTGAGAAACGGATTTTTCTAAGTGTATAATGTGGCCACAGTAACTTTTTTTTTCTTGTAATCAATTTAAAATATCCAGTCTAATTTGTTAAATGAACCATTCTTTTTCTCTGACTTCTTCAAATTAAGATTATTGTGAATTTAAAAATGATACAGCATAAAAGAGACTATTGATTCAAAGGCATATACAGCTATGAGACTTATTTTGCAAGAGACTTATTAATTCCATGGTGATTGTTTTTTTTTTAATCTGGCTAAACTGGACCATAATCATGTAATACCCTCAGAATAATGAGCATATGCTCATGGTGGGCACTGTGACTGTGCTTAAAATGTGCTTCCTGACTAGTTCTTGAACACTTGGGATGTATACTCTCAGTGTCACGTTTTACTAGATAGAGGGTACACAGAAAGCAAAATATTGTCCAGGTCTCATGGCTAGTAATTAGTTTGAGTGTATGTGCCCAGTGTGACTTCAGCACCTGACTCTGAAACACCATGATAGTAGTGCCTCGGTACACCTTAGTTACTTGTTTCTGAAAGCTTAATGGTGGTTAGAAAGTGTGAAAATTCTCTCAATTCTCTAGGGGGAAATTAACAGTAGGATTGTTTCCTTATGCATAGTTTGTGACAACTTATATGGACTTGAGGCTTTTAGTTACATTCTTGACAATCCACAGTCATTGGTTAAATCTTGATTGTAGAATATTTTTTTTTAGTAACAGAAGCTGAATTAAACCAGGGAACAGCTACCTAATAAAATATTTCTTTGTGTTTTGAGTATGAGCTTATGCGCATTAAATATGTATGTTAAACTGATACCACATATTGACCTTGCAAATCAACTGTTTTCCAATTAGATTTTACCCCTACATGGGTATTTCTACTATATATATATAGGCAGGGAAATGTATTATCCCTTTGTTTATCAAAAAAATTAAAGGACTAAGTTTCAGAAGAAGTTGAAGCCATTTAAATTGAGTGTGCATGTTTTTGCCAAATTACTTTGTTAAACTCTTCCCTTTTTCATGTCCCTTTCAGAAAGTCACATCTCAGGAAAGGTGTTAATAATGATTGCCGGAGGGAATCAAAGCATTTTGCTCTGGATGAAAGCAGAGGTAAGAACAGATGTTCTAAAACTTGGTATGTTAAGCAAAACCAAGGGGTCCAAAATCCAGGTTTGGGGAATTCCAAAATCAGGTTACTAGGCTGGCTTTTGAGGGCTGGCTAGATGTAACTGATCCTCTATGTCTTGACTACATAAATATTTCACCACAAAAATTAGCAGATTTTCCCTGGTAAATGTTGAATCTGTGATTTCCTTAGATTCTGCTTAGCTTTTAGAAAGTTCCTTACCAGTGGCTTTTATACTGTACTAGTGAGTTGGCATTCTAAAGGAACTTTGCTTGCCAGTGCTAAGGAGGCTTACAAGCTTACAAATAATCAGTCCATAACTTCCATGCCCTGCTTAACCAACACAAATCAAATTCCATTCCTATACACATCCCTTTTAGTCTCCCTTCAAGGTTATCTCAGGTTCACTATAATCTGACCGTACCTGTATGAAATGCTGAATATTGGAACACAGAGAAAATTATGTTACATTTAAGCCCCCTTAAGTAGTAAGTTGTCAACCAGGCACATGAGTGGTTATTTCTAGGTAGAATCTTACTTTATGGTTTTTCAGTGGTTTGTTATCCACATATAAAAATCAGTATTGCGTTGTAGCCTTAGAATGTACCCCCAAATTGGGTGTCTCTGTTGTATCTAAATTATTATATTTTACTTTTTTGTTTGTTTCCAGAATTCCTATGTTAATCTAAAGAGGAACATTCCTACATTGAATGGAGGGACTGTAAAGCGATGGATTGCTGGTGTGGGGACTAAGCAGTGGCAAAATACAAAAAGGTACATCCCTTGTGTCTGTTTTTGTAACCTCTAAAGTAATGTTTTCCCAGCTTGTTTGCAACAAAATAGAGTTTAAGATTCTGTAGCCTACTAGTGATCAATTACCCAGAGGTCACCAGAGAAACAGAACCAATAGGATGTGTGTGTATATGTGGGTGTACACAGATTTATTTTTAAGGTATTGACTTACATAATTGTAGGGTCTGGAAAAGTGCAAAATCTATATGGCAGAGAGGAGTTGTATTGCAGCTTGAGTCCCAGGCAGTCTGGAGGCAGAGACCCCTCTTCTCCGAGGGCCCCAGCCATTTTTGTTTGTAGGGTCGTCAATTGATTACATAAGTGCCATCCACATCACGGAGGCAGACTGGTCTCAGAGTCATCTGATTTAATGTTAGTGTCATCTGAAAAAAGACCTCCACAGCAACATCTATACTGGTATTTGGACAAATGTCTGAGTACCATGGCCTAGCCAAGTTGCCACATAAAATTCACCATCAAACACAAGCTTCATGAGGACGCCTTGCTTTAGTGCAGGACTACTCGGGCCTCTGGTATGTTTGTGTATATTGTGCCTCTGAGCAGAAAATGGCTTGTAGTTTCCCAGCCCTGTTTGACCTAGTGGGAGTCGCCTGTTTGTGGGCCTCCTGTTCACAGCTAAACAGCTTGGGCGACCTTGCTGTACATGATAGACTGTCTGTCAAGCTTTGTCTCACTGTCTGTCAAGATTAAACTCATTTTTCCAAGCATCTTCTTTTAGAGATCTTTGAGTATGGATCTCTATTCTGGAAAGTATACAAAATATTTGAATCATAATTTGCAAAGCATAAATGATTAAGAACTATTTGTATACTTATTTGTATGACAGAACTGAGCATAAACTGAGCATACTCCCCTGTCCCACCCACAATTTAATTTCTGGCAGTTGTTGTTTCCCATTTCAATGGTACAAAAATAAATAGGGCTTGGAAAGTTGGGTAGGAGGGGAGTGTTTTGTTCTTTGGGGTTTTTTATTGTCGAAGAAAAGACTGACCCTAGGCCAACCCTTTTACTTGTTCCCTATGGTTTCTTTGAGTACATATGATTTTTTTTGTCCCCTATTTGCCACTGAAATTTTGAGGTTTAACAAATGGAATGACTTAGATTCCCAAGGCACTATGCAAACAAAGTGGGATAGGGAGAAGTTTGAAGGACACTGATGAGATGTTTTGTTTGTCAGGTTTCCTGCTATCAGGAGCCATATTCTGATTTTCTTTACCTACCTTCTTGTTCCTGATATAGGGAAATCAGAGAGATATTTTCATCCCCTGCTTGTCTGACTGGAAGTTTTTTAGAGGAAAGGTAATACATATGATAAATTCTGTGTATAATGTGGTGTGATTTTAATTAGTAACATAGTATTATATATTTGTGGGTTTTCTAAAGATTTATTTATTTATGCATACAGAACTGGGGCACAGGCCAGAGGTATAGGGGCAGTGAGAGGATTCAGCAGAGACAGAGTGGGAAACAAGACAGGCAGATTGGTGAAGTATTGCTGAGGGAGCAGCGGACAGGGCAGGAATGGTCTGCTGCACCATGTGGATCACTTCTGGGACAGGGATCCAGTTCATCCTGAAGTGGCGTTAGCTTCTTAGTGATGCGCTTTAACCTGCTGCATCACCAGGGAGGGTCTGCATTATATATTTGAATGTTGCTATGAAAGAAGCAAAACTTCTTAAAAGTTTTCAACCTACAAAAAAATCTGTTTGGTAATAGAGGCTAACAATACATTTTAAATGTATATGAAGAGAAGGATCAAATCATTATATTGTACAACTCAAACTAATGTAATGTTTTATCAGTTATACCTTAATTAAAAATAACTGAAAAATTGTTTAAAAGTAATTTGAAAGTAAAATAATTAACTATGTGTTTGCTCATTTTTTAATTAAAAAAATATTTTATTCACTTATGCATACAAGCAAGAGCTAGGGTAAGTCAGAAGTGTGTGGGGGAGTGGGTTTGGGAAGTGGTGAGACATTCACTAGACAGAGTAGGAAGCAGAACAGGCAGATTGTCTGAAATATACTACTTAGGAGAGCTGCAGGTGAGACAGGAGAGGTCTGCTGTGCCATGTCAGTCACCTCCCTGACATGGGAGCAAACTCATACTGCAGTGGTTGCCTATAGCTTTATAGTGCTGTGACTTAACCTCTTGTGTTACCAAGGAGGCCTCATGAGCTCATTTTTTAAATAATAAAAAAAAGCAAATAATGGGCTCTTTATAGAAAATATAAAAAATACAAACATACAGCAAAAAGAAAATGAATCCCTATAATCCACCATTCAAGAGTAATATCTAGCACTTGTATATATGTATCTTTTTTACAAGCAGTATTCTTTGGCAAAAAAAAAGTCATATTTTTACATTGCCTTACATTTAACATATTTTACATTTTATTCAATTTCAATGCTTAATATTTTTGTTGTATTTGAATGGCTCTATGACTGTACCATTCATTTAACCATTTCATTATTGCAACTTATTGTGGTTTCTTTTAGTTTTTAAATTTATAAAATGTCTTCGCAGTTTTCCTAAATATTTTTGTAATATTATATTTATTTATTTAAAAGCCTTTTGTAATTTTTAGACATTAAACATTATTTTATAAAGATTATCTATTTTTAGATATGAATATATTCAGTCACCATAAACATAATGAATGGTTAAGATATACATTTCATAGTAACTTTCTACTGGAAAACTAAAAATTGACTGTTCTGTAGCCACCTCCTTTTGGACTTTACTTTCAGTTCATGTTAAATGAGGGGAAAATTTTTTTCCCAGAAATAGCAAGACTTACCTTTTTTAAATGACTTTTTACTGGAAAATATTTATTGATTATTGATTTAAGATAAAACAATACCCGAGTTAAATTTTGATGGTGTGTGTGTGTGTGTGTGTATGTATGTATATATATATAGATAGATAGATGTGTGTGTGTGTGTGTGTGTGTATTTCTAAAATGCAAAAAAGGCTGCATTAGCTATATAGAGAGAGCCTCTTGTATATATACATATATATATTTATTATATATGTATATATAAGCTAATGCAGCCTTGATTGTTTTTTTTTTGCATTTTAGAAATAATCACATTGTCAGCTGTATTTTCCATTGTATTTGTATTAAGCCCAGAGTATTACAGTTACTGTAATAATTAAGGGGAAATGAAATTTTACTGAAATAATGCATACTTTAGAAGAAATTTTTCATCTAAATTTGAAGTGTCCTTTTTCATTTCCATATCCATCCATTTTAAAATTTATTTTCATTCCACAGAATAGCTACAGAAACTACGTCTGTTCATTTGGATTTAAATAAAGCAAGAAACACCTTTAAGGAGTTATCCCAAAAGGACTGGATAACTAACACGGTGGTATTCTTTAGACTGTTATTTGGAAAAGGAAAATATACTAAAAGATTTAAAGGAAGACCTCAGAATTGCACAAGAAATGTTTTGAGAGATTCTCAGATATCCTATAGCACATGCAGAATAAGTGGAAGTCGGTACTCCAAAGTTTGTCCTTTTAGGGCAAGGTAGTTAGTTTAGTAATCACATAGGTTCCAAATAGTCTAAATAGTTCACCTGTACCCATGCATACACATATCTGCACACTCTCCAAGAGGTAGTTTTTTCAATTCAAGGCTATAAGCAGATTTGATGAAATTGGTACACTAGAACAAGAACAGTATTTTATGTAATTCTCCTTTAGAATACCTTTTCTGATATGAATATCCTCACCAAGGAATTGCTTGGATTCTTCCTCTTCTTTCATCCTGTTACATTCCCTTATCTCTTTAGGATATTCTTTTTATTTCTATGAGTATTGCTTCTTTGATTCATGACTCTTATTACTGTCTTTGGCATTCCACTGGCAGGTGCTCCAAGCATGCTTTCTTTATTACTTTCTTGCTATAGCCTTTCTTAATTTGTTTCCCCTTCTGTTGTTTTAGTTGACTCTGGGTGATTACTTCCTCAGTCTGTATCTCTCCTGATCTCTCGGGTGTCTCTCTTTCATTCTGTATCTGTCATTCTTTTTCCTCTTGATCATGATCTCTTCTTTCTCCTTTCATCTTCTCACTCCCTATCCACTCCTCACCTGCTCTGTTACTGTCTCTGCCACAATTAGCATTCTGTAACTTAGCTATAAGTTCTTTCTCTCACACTTTTTTCTCCCAAGAAAAGATGGACAGATTAATTCTGTTAATTTTTGCAGGACTACAGCCCAATTAAGAGTCTGGAGTAAATGGATCCCTTTGTCAGGACTGCTATGCACTACTTAGTGGGAAGATCACTAAAATAGGTCATTTCTGCATCTGTGAAGGGAAGAGTTGGACCAGCTCCTCGCTAAGACTAATTATGCCTGGGTTGTGCCAGAACAGTATCATACAGTGTGTAAGCAGCATCATCAGAGTGATCTTTGTTTAGAAAGGACAGTTGGCTCATAAAACATGTAATGTTTCCCTTTTATTTTGAGATTTCTGTGATTGTGATTCAGACCTCTGGCATTTAGTTATTTACTTGCAACCATTTGATTACTTGCTATATGTAGGGCACTCAGACTCCTGAGAAAAATGAAAGAAAAGCTCATGGTTTAGTGAGGGAGCCAGACCTTAAGCTCTTAAGTATCAGTGGGAAAACTGTGTGCCCTTGTCTCCCTAGTGACTACCTTAGGACATAGTGGTATGTAATTCTATTTTTGGGTGAATAGATTTAGTCATTTCGAGGACAGTGAATGTTCACCTCTACTTAGAGTTCAGTCCTAGAGGAAGGGGCCTCTCTGAGGCTCTTACACGAGAAGTGTGTTTCTGGCAGCCAGGAAAGCCTGCAAGCACAGCATGAAGCACAGAGCTGTCGTGAAAGTATCCCAGTAATTCTAAAGGTGGGGAGTGGGTGATGGGAAGCTTGGAGATGTGGCTGGTGATGAGGAAAAAGAGGAGTGAGGCTGATAGAACTCTAGAGATGGGTTAAAATAAGATTTTAGGGGCCCTCCCTGGTGGCGCAGCAGGTTAAAGTACTGCACTGAGAAGCTAAAGCCACTTCCACATGAGTTCTTCGGTTCCCGCCTGCCCGGAGGTGACCACATGGTGTGGCAGACCTCTTCTGACCCGTCTGCTGCTCCCCTCAGCAGTGTACTTCGTCGATCTGCCTGTTCTGCTCCCTACTCTGTCTCTGGTGAAGCCTCTCACTGCCCCGAGCCTCTAGCCTGTACCCCAGTTCTGTATGCATAAATAAATAAATCTTTAAAAAAAAAATAAGATTTTAGGTATGTGTTATAACAAAAACTAAACTTCAACGATAAAATCCTAATATGTTTTGGCATAACAATAAATAATTATAAGAATTAGCTAATTTAGAGCTATCTTTTTAAAAAGATTTTATTTATGCATACAGAACTGGGGTGCAGGTCAAGTTGCAGGGGTGGTGAGAGGATTCACCAGAGACAGAGTGGAGAGCAGAATAGGCAGAGCGATGAAGTACACTGCTGAGGGAGCAACGAGGAGACAGAAGCCGTCTGCTCTGCCATATGGGTCACCTCCGGGGCCGGGGTTCAAACTCTCACTGAAGTGGCTGCTGCTAGCTTGCAGTGCTGTGCTTTAACCCACTGTGCCACCAGGAAGGGTCCCAACTTAGAGATTCTTTTTTTGAAAAAAGATTTATTTATTTATGCATACAGAACTGGGGTACAGGCCAGAGGTGCAGGGGCACTGAGAGGATTCACCAGAGAGTAATTCACTCACCAGAGAGGGTATTTACTCATTACAAAAAGAGTGGGGAGCATAAGAGGCCTACTGACTAAGTACACTCTGAGGGGGGCAGTAGGCGGGTCAGGAGAGGTCTGCTGCGCCATGTGGGTCATCTCCAGGGGTGGGGATCAAACTCATGCTGAAGTGACTTTAGCTTCTTAGTGCTGTGCTTTAACCTGCTGTGCCACCAGGGAGGGCCCTAGAGATCTCTTCTAATTAGTGTCCCATAATTTAATGATCATGATTTTGGACTTTGCCATCAGAAACATCCAGCGAAGATTCCCACTTACCTGTGTGGCCTTGCCCAAAGTAAAGAGTTCTCTTTCATAAAATGGGGCTTAGATTTATGTTAATAGAAGAAGTCCAAAGATTAAGTGACCCAATTAATACATGTTAATCTCTTAGCACAATGTCAGGAAAATATTTCATGAATAAAAACTTACCTCAGTGATTTTTCAGGCAGTTATGGTTATCTGATCATACTTAACATATATGCAATATTCTATTTGAATTTCTCCCTGAGTACTTGTATTTTGAATTAGGGAAACTACAAGGAATTGGAAGGGCTAAAAACTAGTTTGGTGGAGACTAAGTGATGAGACAGATGGTAGGGATAGGGTAGGGATGTGGAAATGGTGAGGCAGGTAGGGTGTTTAGAATGTAGCACTTATTGCTGAGAAGACTAGCCTGCTTGTTGAATCAGTCCATTCATCCAGGAACTGAGTGGGGGGAATACTTACAGTGTCTACACCTCAGGTACGAGGGAGGCTAGATGAGGTGGGATGTATATACTTAAAAAGACTACATGATTTTTCCATTGTCATGGTAGAATGAAACTCTACACTGCTGTAAATTCCATACAATTTCTGCTGTGTTTTGAAAGTCTTTTCCCTGATCTTTTTTGATCACAGATCACCACATGTCTCAAGGATAATCTGTTCAAAAATCTTCCATTTCATTCTCCATACCAAGAAGCTTTAGATGTTTTCTTCCTTCTCCCAGAATGTCCCATGATGCATGATAGTAACAACTGGGAAAGCCTGGTGGTTCCATTTGCAGAGGCTGTTTGTAAAATGAGTGAGCATTCTTCAAGGGGTCTAGGTAAGATTGATGACTTACATGTGAGGATAATTTGCCATCTTTCCAATGAAGATGGCAATAAAGTTATGGTGAAACAAAGATACACATCCACAGTTTTTGGTTCATATCTTGGTTATAGTCTAAAGATACTATGATAATTACTGTGACCATCCAAAATAGATTGTTCTAGTGCCTTATGAGAGTTCTTGTAGTAATACATGGGTAGGATATTTATACCACTCCTTTCTTCATTACAAAAAATTTCATCACAAAAAATTTTATACATAGAAGTTGAGATATCAGTGCAGTGAGTATCCTATACCTACCTTAGAATGGCTGACAATTAATACATTGTCATATGTGCTCTCTCTCTCCTACATACAAATTGCCCTTTATTTATTTATGAAGGTTTATTTATTTATGCATGCAAGAACTGGGTACAGATCAGAGATGTGAGGAGTGAGAAAATTCACCAGAGACAGAATGGGCAGATAGACTCAAATACACTGCTGAGAGGACCAGAGGGCAAGGCAGGAGAGGTCTGCTGTACCATGTGGGTCAGCTCACTGGCTGGGGGTCAAACTCATGCTGCAGTGGCTGTGATAAACTCATAGCGCTGCACCTTAACCCCTTGTGCCGCCAGGGAGGGCTTTTATTTTTGTCTAACTCATCCCTTAATTTATATCCTAAGAATATGAAACCCCTTCCATTACCATGACATTGTGATCACACCGTAATACAATTAACTATAATTCCATAATTAGTATTCTGTAGTTACTAGGTCACATTAAAATTACTACTCTTTTTGAAAAAGTACTTATGATCTTTTAAAATATAGAGTCATTTATTCCATAGAATGTCCCAATCTTCTGGATGTAGATTAAAACCAGAGTCCCTGGAGAAAATCCATGCGGAAATGAGGAAAATGTTTAAACTCCACATACATAGTGGCCATTACTAGAAATCATTTTTTTTCTCATTTATATTGTGCCAAATAATAAGGACCTGCTGAACTGAGGTTTTTGATAAGCATGTTAAGCCCAAAGGAGTACATTCTTAGTTTTCTTAAATCTAAATAACATTGCTAGTGATTAAAAACCATCTTTAAGGTATTTCTTGTTTTTACAATGCTGAAAGATGTAAGAAATAAAAACGCAATGACATGAAAGTTTTGTAATCACAGATAATTTTTAAAACAGTATGCTATCTCATTTGTGCAAAAATTCCCCCCACATACAACAAATTAACTAGATCAAGGAATACTCTTCCAGATTGTAAACTTTTAATTATAATTGTATTTACTGAAAAAAAATGCTACACATGTGTTTTATATATGTGAGAATATTCTGTCAGTTTTGGGAAACACCTACCATTTTTTACCTCTGAGTAAGAATCTAAGAGAAATTACATAAGAATTATATTTGTCTTTGTATCTATAGAGGAATATTGGGCCTCTCTGCAAGAATCTGCTTTCAGCGAACTGGTCCAGATGTTTAAAAGAGCCATCATTGCACAGCTGCATTATTGGACTGAAAGCACTGAGAATAATTATCACATTAAAGCTCTCCTAGAAATGCTGAAAAAGCTGCACAGGGTAAGGATTCATTTAGAAATCCATGTCTTTATTTTGCAATAAAAATGTGCTTTGTTCCGCTTGGCATGAATCTTAAGCAGATTTATATATAACATTTTATAACTGGGTTCCTGGGTCCAATTTTCAATATGAAGGTGTGTGAAGGCTTCTCCACAGCAACAAGAAATTCTCAGTCTTCAGCAGGATATCCAGAAATTCAACTCAGTACTGAAACTGTGTATGCGATGGTAGCATCAGTTCCACAGGTTAAAGGTCAGTCTCCCAAGATCACCCTCCACTTCAGACACTGGCTGCAAGCCCCAGGCAGATGCCTGTCAAAAGCCCTGGATTATTAGCTGTGTAAGACTAATCATTTTATGTAATGGCACAAAGAACTCAAAACCGATTTACTCTGTCACAAATGCAGTTCAAATATATACAGATCAATAGCCAGGTGGAGGAACTGCATCAGGCCAGGTGTGGGGAAAGGGGCAGGTGGAGCTTCCTGTTTTCTCCAGATCTGGTAGTGGGACTATAAATCCCACCATCTTCATGCTAGTTTCCCTGGCAACCAGGGTTCTTTTCAAAAGTTACATTTGTTGACACAGTAAGAGATTCCTTTAACCTTGTCAACACTTAAATCTGGAATGGAGTTGTGAGCCAGAACTTGTCGTGAAAAAAAAATACATGAAGCATGGGAAAAAAAAAATACATGAGAAATACATTTTGGTCCTCCTGGAAAGAGAAAAGCTCATTAAAAAAATATTTTGGAATTTTAGAATGGAGAAACTTATTGAAAAACTCAGGGGAAATGTATTAATATTATTGAGGTTTTGTCATGTACAAAGAAAACTCGGGAAGATATTGAAGCAGCAACAAAAAAGTCATCAAGGCTTGGTGCATTGTCCTTTGATATAGCAGTGACACTGGAATATTGTCAACCCCAGCTCCAACCTCCTAAGTGGGAACACAAGGAGCCATGAGGATGAATCCCACATTTTTTCTGTGACAATGTGAGGCAGAGATCATTAGGGTCCAGAGCACCATAGTCATGGGGATGAATCAGCTTCACTATATTTTTATATTTTATTTATTGGGTTTTTTTTGTTGTTGTGACATTTATTGCAGTATTCTGGAACTGAATTCAACAATATCTTTGAGCTATTCTGGTACTTACCCTTCTTTTATTTTATATATATATATATAAAACTTTATTCTTCATTTTGTGCATTTTTTCATCTCGGTTGTAATCCCCATAGACTTCCCACCACCACTTCACCCATTTACCATCACAATAGTCCTATATGCTCTTCCTACCCCTATTTTTATCTTGTTCCCCTCTCTTCACCCATAGAATATCTCTGGCTTATAGTTGTTAAATTGATGTCCTTTTTTACTTTATTACAATTACTATATATATATATATTTTTTTCATGATCCCTTCCTTACACTCCTGTGATGAGTGAAACCATTCGGTATTTTTCTTTTTCTTTCTGGCTTACTTCACTAAGTATGATTTTTTCCAGTTCCATCCCTGTTGCTGCAAATAGCATGAGTTTTATCTTTTTTGATTGCTGAGTAATACTCTGTTGTGTACATATACCACATCTTCTTGATCCAGTCATCTATTTTGGGGCATTGGGTTGACTCCACATCTTCCCTATTGTATATAGGGCAGCAATAAACAAAGGGGTTCATGTGTCCTTTTGAATTATTTTTTTGTGTGTCCTTTGGGTAGATACATAGGAGTGGAATTGCTGGATCATATGGAAGCTTCGTTGTTAGCAACTTGAGAAACCTCCACACAGCTTTCCATAGTGGTTGTAACACCTTACATTCCCACCAGCAGTGTAGGAGAGTTTTGTTTTCTCCACATCCTTGCCAAAATTTATTGTTGCATGTTGTCATTCTCACTGATGTGAGGTGGTATCTCATTGTAGTTTTAATTTGCATCTCCCTTATTACAAGTGATGTTGAACATTTTTTCATATGCCTGTTGGACATTCTCATTTCCTCTTTGGCGAAGTGTCTTTGTAGCTCTTCTGCCCTTTTTTTTTTTAATGGGGTTGTTCACTTTATGTTTGTTAAGTTTCGTCAGTCCTTTATCATTTGTATTATGTGCGAAAATTTTCTCCCAGTCAGTGGGGTATCTGTTTTATGTAGTGTCTCTTTTGCTGCACAGAAGCTCTTCAATTTCTTTCACTATCCTTGCTTTGGGTGATGTATCTTTAAAGATGTTACTAAGGTGTATGTCATGTGGTGTTTGACCAATATTTTCTTCTATATATTTTATGATTTCAGGTCTTATGTCTAGTTCTTTAATCCATTTTGAGTTGGTTTTTTTATATGATGTAAAGTAGTAATCTAGCTTCACTTTTTTTGCACATAGCAGCCCAGCACCATTTGTTGAACAAACTTTCTTTATTCCATTGCATATTCTTTGCTCCTTTGTCAAAGATTAGCTGTCCATAAAGCTGTGGATTTATATCTAGGTTTTCTATTCGATTCCATTTGTCTTACATCTCCTCTTGTTCCAATATCATGCAGTCTTAATTATTATGGCTTTATAGTATAGTTTGAAGTCTGGGAGTGTGATACCTCCATTCCCTTATTTCTTATTTGGAAGAGCCTTGGCTATTCGAGGTTTTCTGTGGCTCCATATGAACTTTATCAGTATTTTTTTTTCTCTGAAAAATGTAATTGAAATTTTGTAGGAATAGCATTGAATCTATAAATTGCTTTAGGTAGGATGGCCATTTTAATGATGTTAATTTTTCCAATCCATGAGCAAGGGATCTCTTTCCATTTCTTTGTATCTTCTTCTATTTCTTTTAACAATATTTTATAACTTTCTTTATAGAGGACCTTCACCTCTTTTGCTAGGTTTATTCCCAAGTATTTGATCTTTCTTTTATTTCAGTATAAAGGGAATGGTTTTCTTGATTTCTTCTTCAGAGTGATTGTGTATAGGAATGCTATTGATTTTTGTGTGTTCATTTTGTGTCCTGCTACTTACTAACCTGGTTTATTATTTTGATAAGTTTTTCTGTGGAGTTTTTGGGATTCTCTATGTATATTGTCATGTCGTCTGCAAACAGTGATAGGTTCACTTATTCTTTCCCTATTTGGTTTCTTTGTATGCTTTTTTCTTGTCTTATTGCCCTGGCTAGGACTTCCAGTATTATATTGAAAAGCAGTGATGAGAATGGATATTCTTGTCTTGTTCCTGATCTTAAGGGAAAGGATTTCAGCTTTTCACCATTGAGAATGACATTGGCTATGGGTTTGTTATAGATGGCCTTTATTATGTTAAAGTATGTTCCTTCTACCCCAAGAGTTTCAAGTAACTTTATCATGAATGGATGCTGGACTTTGTCAAATGCTTTCTCTGCATCTTTTGATATGATCATATGGCTTTTATTTTTCTTTTTGTTGATGTGTTGGATTACATTAATTGATTTTCAAATGTTGAGCCATCCTTGTGCCCCTGGGATAAATCTCACTTGGTCATGGTGGATTATCTTTTTGAAGCCTTGTTGGATTCTGTTAGCTCTATTATCTAGGATTTTATTTAGGATTTTTGCATCAATTCATTAGAGATATTGGCCTGTATTTTTCTTTTCTTGTGTTGTCCTTGTTTGGTTTTGGTATTAGTGTGATGTTAGCTTCATAAAACATGGTTGGTAGTATTCCTTCTTTCTCAATTTTTTGAATGAGTTTGTGTAGAACAGGCACTAGTTCATTTCTGAATGTTTGGTAAAATTCATTTGTAAAGCCATCTGGTCCTGGGCTTTTGTTTTTGGGGAGAGATTTGATTACTGTATCATACTCACTACATGTAATTGGCCTGTTTAGGTGTTCGATTTCTTCCTTGTCAAGTCTTGGGTGATTGTAAACTTGTAGGAATTTGTCCATTCTTCTAGCTTGTTGAACTTGTTTGCATATAACTGTTCATAGTAATCTCTTACTATTCTTTTGACTTCTGCTGTGTCTGTTGTGACTTCTCTTTCATTTATAATCCTATTTATTTGTGTTTTCTCCCATTTCTTCTTTGTGAGCCTGGCTAGAGGTTTGTCTATTTTGTTTATTTTTTCAAAGAACCAGCTTTAAAAGGTTTTGTTGATTTTTTGAATTGTCTTCTTAACTTATATTTCATTTATTTCTGCTTTGATTTTTATTATTTCCTTTCTTCTATTGGCTTTTGAACTTTATTGTTGTTCTTTTCCCAGTTCTTTAAGGTGAGACATTAGGTTATTTTTTTTTT